AACTGAATGCAGGGAAACTGGCCATACGGCAGGACGGGTCTCCCCTACAAAGCCTAGGAGGCTAAAAAATTCTCACTTCAGAGTTTCGCACCCAGAACATCAGTTCGAGAGTGATCAGGAACCAATGAGCTCAGCGGTGGGGGAAGGGCAGCCGCCATTGCAGAAGCCAGCCTGCTTTTCCTGAGCAAATATAAGACCCAGGAAAAATACGCAGCAGCTCCACTGAATCCATGGCAGCCCAGCAGCGCCTCTGCAGGTAGACAAAGGAAAGGCAGTCTCCCCAGGCAGCCACCTGAGATCAAACCTACATAAATTCAACAGATGGGAAGAAACCAGCGCAAGAAGGATGAAAACATAAAAAACCAGAACGCCTCTCCCCCACCACGAGATCATAGCTCTGCACCAGCAAGGGAACAAAGCAGGGTGGAGAACGAATTTGATGAACTGACAGAAGCAGGCTTCAGAAGGTGGGTAATAACAAACTTCTCCAAGTTAAAGGAACATGTTCTAACCCAATGCAAAGAAACTAAAAACCTTGAAAAAATGTTAGATAAAATGCTAACTAGAATAACCAACTTAGAGAAGAACACAAACGACTTAGTGGAGCTGAAAAACACAGCACAAGAACTTCATGAAGCATACACAAGTTTCAGTAGCCAAATAGATCAAGCAGAAGAAAGGATATCAGAGATTGAAGATCAACTCAATGAAATAAAACCAGAAGACAAGCAGAGAGAAAAAAGAGTGAAAGGAAATGAAGAAAGCCTCCACGAAATATGGGATTATGTGAAAAGACCTAATCTATGCTTGATTGGTGTACTGGAAGAAGATGGGGAGAATGAATCCAAGCTGGAAAACACTCTTCAGGATATTATCCAGGAGAACTTCCCCAACCTAGCAAGGCAGGCCAATATTCAAATACAGGAAATACAGAGAACACCACCATGATGCTCCTCTAGAAGAACAACCGCAAGGCAAATAATCGTCAGAGTCACCAGTTGAAACAAAGAAAAAAATGCTAAGGCAGCCAGAGAGAGAGGTCGGGTCACCCACAAAGGAAAGCCTATCAGACTCACAGCAGATCTCTCGGCAGAAACCCTACAAGCCAGAAGAGATTGGGGGCCAATATTCAACATCCTTAAAGAAAAGAGCTTTCAATCCAGAATTTCAGGCCACAGGCATAGGCAAGGACTTCATAGCTAAAACACCAAAAGCAATAGCAACAAAAGCCAAAATAGATAAATGGGATCTAATTAAACTCCAGAGCTTACAGCAAAATAAACAATCGCTACAGTGAACTGGCAACAAATAGAATGGGAAAAAATTTTTTTGCAATCTACCTATCTGACAAAGGGCTAATATCCAGAAACTACAAACAACTAAAACAGATTTACAAGAAAAAAAAAACAAAAACAAATCCATCCAAAAGTGGGTGAAGGACATGAACAGACTCTTTTCAGAAGAAGACATATATGAGGCCAACAAACATATGAAAAAATGCTCAGCATCCCTGGTCATTAAAGAAATGCAAATCAAAACCACATTGAGACACCATCTCACACCGGTTAGAATGGCAATCATTAAAAAATCTGGAGACAACAGATGCTGGAGAGGATGTGAAGAAATAGGAACACTTTTATGCTATTGATGGACTGTAAATTAGTTCAACCATTGTGGAAGACAGTGCGACATTTCCTCAAGGACCTAGAAATAGAAACACCATTTGACCCAGCAATCCCATTACTGGGTATATACCCAAAGAATTATAAATTGTTCTATTATAAAGACACAAGCACACATATGTTCATTGCGGCACTGTTTACAATACTTGGAACCAACCCAAATGTCCATCAACAATAGACTGGATAAAGAAAATGTGGCACATATACACCATGGAATATAATGCAGCCATAAAAAATGATGAGTTCATGTTCTTCATAGGGACATGGATGAATCTGGAAACCACCATTCTCAGCAAACTGACACAAGAACAGAAAACCAAACACTGCATGTTCTCACTCATAGGCAGATGTTGAACAATGAGAACATGTGGACACAGGGAGGGGAGCATCACACACTGTGGTCAACTAGGGGGGCTAGGGAAGGGACAGTGGGGAGTGGGGAGGGTGGGGAGGGATAAAGTGGGAAGAAATACCAGATATAGTTGATGGGGGGGATAAAGGTGGTAAACCACCTTGCCATGTATGTAGCTATGCAACAATCCTGCATGATCTGCACATGTACCCTAGAATCTAAAGTACAATTAAAAAAAATAGAATCATTCATCATGACCAAGTGGGATTTATCCCAGGGATGCAAGGATGATTCAGCATATGCAAATCAATCAATCTGATACATCATATCAACATGAATATGGACAAAAAAAATCTATGATATTTTCAATTGATGCTAAAAAACACTTAATACAATTCAACATGCCTTCATGTTCAAAGCTCTCAAAAAACTGTGTATAGAATGAACATGCCTCAACATAATAAAAACCACATATGACAGACCCACAGCTAGTATAATATAAAACAAAAAGAAAAAACTGAATGTCTTTCCTCTTAGATCTGGAATGCCCATTTTCACCTCTGTTATTCAACATAGTACTGGAATTTCTAGCTAGAGCAATCAGACAAGAGAATAAAATAAAGGGCATCCAAACTGGAAAGGAAGAATTTAAATTGTCCTTGTTTGTAGATGATATGATCTTATAGTTGGAAAAACCTAAAGACTCCTCCAAAAAATAAAACTGATAAACTAAATAAAGTTATAGAATACAAAATCAACATACAAAAATCAGTAACACTTCTCTATGCCAATAGCAAATATTCTGAGAAAGGAACCAAGAAAGAAATTCAATTTACAATAGCCTAGAAAAAGTTAAATACCTAGGTATGAACTTAACCAAAGTGGTGAAATATCTCTACAACAAAAACTATAAAACACTGATGAAAAAAATTGATGAAGACATGAAAAAATGAAAAGATATTTCATGCTCATGGATTATAAGAATCAATATTGTTAAAATGTACATACTACCCAAAACAATTTACATATTTAACTAAATTTTATCAAAATACCAATGACATTCTTTTCCAAAATAGAAAAAAAAATACTAAAATTTATTTGGAATCACAGAAGATCCAGAATATTCAAAGGTACTCTGAACAAAAAGAGCAAAACTAGAGGAATCACATTACCTGACTTCAAATTATACTACAGAGCTGCAGTCACCAAAACAGCATGTTACTGGCATAAAAACAGACACATAGACCAATGGAACAGAATAGGAAATTCAGAAACAAATCCACACATACAGCAAACTTATTTTTTTTTAAGGTGCCAAGAACACACACTGGGGAAAAGACAGACCCTTCAATAAATGGTGCTGGAAAATGTGGATATCCATATGCAAAAAATGAAGCTTGACCACTATCTCTCACCATATACACAAACCAAATCAAAATGGATTAAAGAGTTAAACCATGAAATGAATGTAAGAAAACTTTTAGGAAATTCTACAGGACATTGTTCTGGGCAAAAATTTCTTAAGCAATACCACTTAAGCACAGGTAATCAAAGGAAAAATGGACAAATGGGGTCACATCAATTTAAACTTCTGCATAGCAAAGGAAACAATAAAGTAAAGACACAACCCACAGAATGGGAGAAAATATTTGCAAACTACCCATCTGACAAGAGATTAATGATCAGGATATATAAAGAGCTCAGAAGAAATCTAAAAATCCAATAAAAAATAGGCAAAAAATTTGAATAGACATTTCTCAGAAGAGACATGCAAATGGCAAACAGACATATGAAAGTGTTCTGAGCATCACTGATCATCAGAGAAATGTAAATCAAATCTACAATGGGATACCTCATCCCAGTTATAATGGCTTATATCCAAAAGACAGGCAATAACAAATGCTGGCATGGATGTGGAGAAAAGGGAACCCTCACACACTGTCGATGGGAACGTAAATTAGTACAACCACTATGAAGAACAGTTTAGAGGTTTCTCAAGAAACTAAAAATAGAGCTACCGTATTATGATCCAGCAATCCCACTACTGCATATATACCCAAAAGGGAGAAAATCAGAACGTTCAAGAGATATCAGCACTTTTTGTTGCAGCACTCTTCCCAATAGCCAAGATTTGGAAGCAAGCTAAGTTTCCATTAATAGATAAATGGGTAGAGAAAATGTGGTACAAGGGAGTGCTATTCAGCTGTAAAAAATGAGATCCAGTCATTTGCAACAATATGGACAGAACTGGAGGTCATTGTGTTAAGTGAAATAATCCAGGCACAGAAAGACAGACATCACATGTTCTTACTTATTTGTGGGATCTAAATATCAAAACAATTGAATTCATATAGAAGAGTGGTTACTAGAGGTTTGGAATGATAGTGGAGGGCTGGAGAAGAGATCGTGATGGTTACTGGGTACAAAAGAAAGAATGAATAATATTTAGTATTTGTTAGCACAACAGGCAACTACAGTCAATAATAACTTAATTGTACATTTAAAAATAACAAAAAGAATATAATTGGATTGCTTGTAACACAAAGGATAAATGCTTGAGGGGATGGATACCCCATTCTCCATGATGTGATTATTATGCTTTGCATGCCTTTTTCAGAATATCTCATGTACCCCATAAATGTGTACACTATGTACCTATAAAAATTAAAATATTAAAAGTCTTATGGTGAGTAAAATAAGTCAGATTTAGGAGAATAGTTTCTGTGTGATCTCATTTATAATAAGTTCCAGAACAGTCACAATTATTCTATGAATACAGAAATGCAATGCTAATTACTAATCCCAAGCAAGGACTTCCACTTCTTGGAGAATAGCAGGAATCAGCACTCTGCCCGTTATCAGACACAGGAATCCCACTATATCTTGGGCTACTGTTTAGGTCCATCATGCTCTATTTATCTATTTGTCTGAGTTCAATGAGACAGAACACACTGACACACAACAAATTCTGTGAAGTTGGTTTATTACTTAAAGATGAGCAGCAAGCAACAGACAAATCTCTTTAAGCCAGGCCCCCAAGTCTCAAGAAAGCTGTACAGGGTAGATAGTATCTTGACTATGTTTGCCTCTCTTTGCACTACAGCTGAGGGATCCTGCAAGGCAGCTCATCCTTGGTTATATACCTCAAGTGCCATGTAACACAAAGGGCAAAGCTTTGAAGGACCTCCTGCTTATAGAGGGAGAGTTTGTGTGGCAATAGGGAGGTGATAATGGAGGTGGGAGGTGATAGTAAAGCTGAATGGCAACGGAGGAAAGGAAGAGAGAAGGTTTAGAAAAGGAAGGGGAAGAAATTAGAGTTGTGATGTACCTTGAATGTGCATCTCGAAAGTAGTAGTACTGGCTACTCTCTACTACAAGTGAGAGCTTGGTGAATGTCACAGAGGCCGGGAAGTCCCTTGTTTGCTAACTTCTAATAACAGTGTAAAGATGTAGTTTGTAAATGCCAATAAAATCAAAGTGGCTGAGTTTGAAGTGGGCACTGCCTGCTGGTAAAAATAACTTGGTGTCTGTAGAGAAAAATCTTCAGTATCCATCATCCATTTTATTGTTATTTCTGCTTAATCATTGTCCAGATACATGGGAATTTTAGATAAAAATATTGTGGATTTTTAGCTGAAGGCTTTCCAGTGCACCTGAACTAGTTAAGCAAATTAAGATTCTAGAATGTCCCTGCTTTAAATTTCACCGTACAGGAACTCTTGGGGCAGGTTTCTTGGAGTATGACAATGCCATTAAACCCAATAAAAGGATAAATCCATTGTTCAGAACCACTTTTCTCTGACTGAGGGAGAAGCCAAGCTGAAATCACCAGAAGGGATGACACTAGTTTAGTCTCGTTAGGTTAAGGAGCAGGCGGGGTATTGTCAGGACAGACACGGAAGGAAAGCAAGGGCCAGCAGAGTGTGCAGGATGAGCAACATTAGGGATATTCCAAAAAGGGGCCTCGGGAGGGCAAATATCTTAGAGTTTGAAGTTACAGTTATCGTAGTTGCAGCATTCATGAATGTAAGTCCGATTCCTGATATCAAATGTTATGTCTTCGCAGAATTTCTGACACATCATGTATGATATCTGGAGAATATTGCCTAAAATAGGAAAGAACCACAGAAAATAAGCATTTGATTTAAGCTCTCCAAGGTGAGTCAAAACCAGCAGTAGTTCTGTTGGTGAAAATGTAATCAGGCATCAGAGTAGGTTGAGGGATGGCTTCCCAGCTTATACTCCCTAAAAGCACCCGGGCGGGGAGATACAGAGGTCACTGGTCAGCTGCAGGGGTTGTTTGCCTGAGGGCCCTGAAAAATCCTCAACTCTGTGTAGCTGCTTCATTTTTCTCTCATGCTAGAAGATTAGCAAATAGTGATTTAGTGTCTTCCAAGTCAAAATCGGTTTGGTCATTAACCAGCCTCTCCTCATCCCCTCCTTCTACCACTCTTCTCAGCCTTTGGTAACCACCATTCTACTCACTACGACCATGACATCAACTTATTTTTTAGCTCCAATACATGAGTGAGAACATATGATATTTGTCTTTCTGTGCCTGGATTATTTCACTTAACATAATGACATCCAGGGTCACCAATGTTTCTGCAAAGGACAGAATTTCATTTATTTTTATGGTTGAATAAGATTCTATTTTGTGTATATACCATACTTTTTAATTGTATATTTCAAAATAGCTAGAAGAGAAGATATGGAATGTTCTCAATACAAAAAATGATAAATGTTCAAGTTGATGGATATCCCAATTACCCTAATTTGATTATTATGCATTGAAGTCTTGTATAAAAAATCACATGTACTTATAAACATGAACAATTACTATGTGTCAATTACCAAAAAAAACCTGTTTGTTCAATTTTCTTGGAAATATAGAATCTCCAGCTTCTCCCTCCTGTCCCATTGACTCAAATTATCTTCTGTCTGCACACGCAGGGACCTATGCTACCACCTGTGCTGCGGGCATTCTGTACTTGTTTTTTCTCTTGAGATGTGAAATTACTGAAGCACTCTCCTTGAATTCTAAGAATCTTACAACACCTTCCCAAACCCTCTAACTTACCCTCATATATTTTTAAAAGCATGCATGACTCATCCTTCTGAGCAGTACAGACACCAAAGCCTCTTCTACAGCGGTCTTTCCACATGCGAAGTTGGCATGTTATGCACTGAAGTGATGTCACTGCCGGAGAGAGCACAGAGATGGTGTGAGACCAGGCAAAAGCAGGGACTTGGGATGGAGTTGGAAATATTCAGTTCGAAGTGGTAAATGAATAGCGGGGGGGCAGATGGATGAAAGGCTGCTGGCTGTGGTATTTAGGCAGTAAACAGTCAGAGGTCTTATCAACTCCTCATTTCAGAGTAATAAAAAGGAAATGTCACCATATGAATAAAAGGATTCTGATTCCAACTTCAGCCCTTATAACCTGGATAACTTTAAGCAAAAATTTAGCCTCAGTGTCATTGATTTCTCTAGCTTAAACGTGGTGCTATGGATGCTAGCCTGGCCTACATGGCAGTGCTTTAAAGATATGGGTGTGATAAGGAGGGCGAGTGCTTTAAAATATTTCACCCAAGCTGTTGTTACTATCACTGGGTTTCTAACATTTGGCGTTGTTTTGTGTTGTATATTGTTGCTTGGGTATTGGTAGGTGATATATTCTGTTCTTTTGAGCTTCAATCTCAATCTACATAAAGGCAGCATCAATAATGGTACCATTAAGTGACACTGTTATGAGGTTCTGTGGGGTGAGCTATTCAAAATACAGGTTTAATTTTGAAAAAATTCCCTGGTGCACCTGAATGAGAAGGAAAAATAGCAATGTTGAGCATCTCATTTGGGCCATGTTCTCTCAAATTGTATTTGATTTAATCCTCACAAAAGCCTTGTAAGCACATGCCATTGTCCCCATTTCTTGAATGAGCAACCAAAGGTACAGAGAGTTTGAGATCGTGACCACAAACCATAAAAAAAATCTGTCTGATTCCAGAGCATTCAGTACTTCCTCTAATAGAATTACTTGTAATATAAAGTCTCTGAAAAGGGTATCAAAACCCATTGTTCAGTCCTAAAATAAACTGCAAAATTATTCATTATAGACTGACCAGCTCCCTCAACAAATGGAATATAGGTTTACAAATAAAAAGGATGTCCTAAGAAAAATCTTGCCAGGGTTTGGGATTATGGAGAATGGAAGGGACAGAGGGGGGATGTAGGTTAAAAAGTCAGGAACAGAGTCTTTCCCATCTGGAGGAGAATGGCAGGAGGTTGAAAAGGACCAAAGAATTGGCTGGGAAGGCAGAGGAGCATTCTGGAGGCTGGCTTCCCCTGGTTCATAAATGTGGCCAAAGCTCAGCCGTGTATGGATGCATGCTACACATGTAGTTTCCTTGGAGATCCCTAGATCCTGTCTCTCAAGTATATCCCTCAGGGCCTGGACTTACCCACAATGAGGCAGCAGAAGGCGAAGAGCAATAAGAAGTGTTTGTTCATCCTGACTCGGAAATCTCTTGTGCAGGAAAAAAAGCTAGGGGCTGCCAGCACAGTTCTTTAGACTCTGCAGAGGAAACTTTCTTCTTCATGATAGGCTAGTGATTATTCATGCCTAAGGAGAGCCAGTCACACAAGGTTTCCTCTTGGAGCTCAAGTTCCTTGGCTGTCCTCCTCATGGTAGAAAATAAAGATAATTAATAAATGTTGAGGTTTGCACTGAGCTAACCTTTTTAAAAACATATAATCCTCATCATAGTTATGATATTATTATTATTTTTTTAATTGCATTTTAGGTTTGGGGGTACATGTGCAGAACATGCAAGACAGTTGCATAGGTACACACGTGGCAGTGTGTTTTGCTTTCTTTCACCCCTTCACCCACATTTGGCATTTCTCCCAAGGCTATCCCTCCCCACCTCCCCCTCCCACTGGCCCTCCCCATTTCCCCCCAATAGACCCCAGTGTTTAGTACTCTTCTCTCTGTGTCCATGCATTCTCATTTTTCATCACCCACCTATGAGTGAGAATATGCGGTGTTTCGTTTTCTGTTCTTGTGTCAGTTTGCTGAGGATGATGTTCTCCAGATTCATCCATGTCCCTACAAATGACACAAACTCATCATTTCTGATTGCTGCATAATATTCCATGGTGTATATGTGCCACATTTTTCCAATCCAGTCTATCATCAATGGGCATTTGGGTTGATTCCAAGTCTTTGCTATTGTAAACAGTGCTGCAATGAACATTCGTGTACATGTGTCCTTATAGTAGAAGGACTTACAGCCTTTTGGATATATACCCAGTAATGGGATTGCTGGGTCAAATGGAATTTCTATTTCTAAGGCCTTGAGGAATCGCCACACTGACTTCCACAGTGGTTGAACTAATTTACACTCCCACCAACAGTGTAAAAGTGTTCCTTTTTCTCCACATCCTCTCCAGCATCTGTTGTCTCCAGATTTTTTAATGATCGCCATTCTAACTGGCGTGAGATGGTATCTCAATGTGGTTTTGATTTGCATCTCTCTGATGACCAGTGATGATGAGCATTTTTTCATATGATTGTTGGCCTCATATATGTCTTCTTTCGTAAAGTGTCTGTTCATATCCTTTGCCCACTTTTGAATGGGCTTGTTTGTTTTTTTCCTGTAAATCTGTTTGAATTCTTTGTAAATTCTGGATATCAGCCCTTTGTCAGATGGGTAAACTGCAAAAATGTTTTCCCATTCTGTTGGTTGCCGATTCACTCTAGTGACTGTTTCTTTTGCCGTGCAGAAACTGTGGAGTTTGATTAGGTCCCATTTGTCTATTTTGGCTTTTGTTGCCAATGCTTTAGGTGTTTTGTTCATGAAGTCCTTGCCTACTCCTATGTCCTGGATAGTTTTGCCTAGATTTCCTTCTAGGGTTTTTATTGTGCCGGGTCTTATGTTTAAGTCTTTAATCCATCTGGAGTTAATTTTAGTGTAAGGTGTCAGGAAGGGGTCCAGTTTCTGCTTTCTGCACACGGCTAGCCAGTTTTCCCAACACCATTTGTTGAACAGGGAATCCTTTCCCCATTGCTTGTTTTTGACAGGTTTATCAAAGATTGTGTGGTTGTAGATATGTTGTGTTGCCTCTGTTGCCTCTGTTCTGTTCCATTGGTCTATATCTCTGTTTTGGTACCAGTACCATGCTGTTTTGATTACTGTAGCTTTGTAGTATAGTTTGAAATCCGGTAGTGTGGTGCCCCCCACTGTGTTCTTTTTGCTTAGAATTGACTTGGCTATGCGGGCTCTCTTTTGGTTCCATATGAAGTTCGTGGTGGTTTTCTCCAGTTCTGTGAAGAAAGTCGATGGTAGCTTGATGGGTATAGCATTGATTCTGTAAATTACTTTGGGCAGTATAGCCATTTTCAGGATATTAATTCTTCCTAACCATGAACATGGAATGTTTCTCCATCTGTTTGTGTCCTCTCTTATTTCATTGAGCAGTGGGTTGTAGTTTTCCTTGAAGAGGTCCCTTACATTCCTTGTGAGTTGTATTCCAAGGTATTTTATTCTTTTTGTAGCAATTGTGAATGGCAGTTCATTCTTCATTTGGCTTTCTTTAAGTCTGTTATTGGTGTAGAGGAAGGCTTGCGATTTTTGCACATTGATTTTATATCCTGAGACTTTGCTGAAGTTGCTTAGCAGTTTCAGGAGTTTTTGGGCTGAGGCGATGGGGTCTTCTAGGTATACTATCATGTCATCTGCAAATAGAGACAATTTGGCTTCCTCCTTTCCTATTTGAATACCCTTTATTTCTTTTTCTTGCCTGATTGCTATGGCTAGAACTTCCATTACTATATTGAATAGGAGTGGTGAAAGAGGGCATCCTTGTCTAGTGCCGGATTTCAAAGGGAATGCTTCCAGTTTTTGCCCATTCAGTATGATATTGGCTGTTGGTTTGTCATAAATAGCTTTTATTACTTTGACATATGTTCCATCAATACCGAGTTTATTGAAGGTTTTTAGCATAAAGGACTGCTGAATTTTGTCAAATGCCTTCTCTGCGTCAATTGAGATAATCATGTGGTTTTTGTTTTTGGTTCTGTTTATGTGGTGAATTACGTTTATAGACTTGCGTATGTTGAACCCGCCTTGCATCCCTGGGATGAATCCTACTTGATCATGATGGATAAGTTTCTTGATTTGCTGTTGCAATTGGCTTGCCAATATTTTATTGAAGATTTTTGCATCTATGTTCATCATGGATATTGGCCTGAAGTTTTCTTTTCTTGTTGGGTCTCTGCCGGGTTTTGGTATCAGGATGATATTGGTGTCATAGAATGATTTGGGAAGGATTCCTTCTTTTTGGATTATTTTGAATAGTTTCAGAAGGAATGGTACCAGCTCCTCTTTGTGTGTCTGGTAGAATTCGGCTGTGAACCCGTCTGGACCTGGGCTTTTTTTGTGTGGTAGGCTCTTAATTGCTGCCTTGACTTCTGACCTTGTTATTGGTCTATTCATAGTTTCAGCTTCCTCCTGGTTTAGGCTTGGGATGACACAGGAGTCCAGTAATTTATCCATTTCTTCCAGGTTTGCTAGCTTATGTGCGTAGAGTTGTTTGTAATATTCTCTTATGATGGTTTGAATTTCTGTGGAATCTGTGGTGATTTCCCCTTTATCATTTTTTATTGCATCTATTTCGTTGTTCTCTCTTTTCTTTTTAATCAATCTAGCTAGTGGTCTGTCTATTTTGTTGATCTTTTCAAAAAACCATCTCTTGGATGTATTGATTTTTTGGAGGGTTTTTCGTGTCTCAATCTCCTTCAGTTCAGCTCTGATCTTAGTTATTTCTTGTCTTCTGCTGGGTTTTGAGTTTTTTTCATCTTGCTTCTCTAGCTCTTTCAATTTTGACGATAGGGTGTCAATTTTGGATCTCTCCATTCTCCTCATATGGGCACTTATTGCTATATATTTTCCTCTAGAGACTGCTTTAAATGTGTCCCAGAGGTTCTGGCATGTTGTGTCTTCGTTCTCGTTGGTTTCGAAGAACTTCTTTATTTCTGCCTTCATTTCGTTGTTTACCCAGTCAACATTCAAGAGCCAGTTGTTCAGTTTCCATGAAGCTGTGCGGTTGGGTTGGTTTCTAAATTCTGAGTTCTAACTTGATTGCACTATGGTCTGAGAGGCTGTTTGTTATGATTTCAGTTGTTTTGCATTTGCTGAGCAGTGCTTTGCTTCCAATTATGTGGTCAATTTTAGAGTTGGTGTGATGTGGTGCTGAGAAGAATGTATATTCTGTGGATTTGGGGTGGAGAGTTCTGTAAATGTCTATCAGGTTTGCTTGCTCCAGGTCTGAGTTCAAGCCCTGGATATCCTTGTTGATGTTCTGTCTGGTTGATCTGTCTAATATTGACAGTGGGGTGTTAAAGTCTCCCACTATAATTGTGTGGGAGTCTAAGTCTCTTTGTAAGTCTTTAAGAACTTGCCTTATGTATCTGGGTGCTCCTGTGTTGGGTCCATATATGTTTAGGATTGTTAGCTCTTCTTGTTGTATCGATTCTTGACCATTATGTAATGGCCTTCTTTGTCTCTTTTGATCTTTGTTGCTTTAAAGTCTATTTTATCAGAGATGAGAATTGCAACTCCTGCTTTTTTTTGCTCTCCATTTGCTTGGTAAATCTCCCTCCATCCCTTTATTGTGAGCCTTTGTGTATCCTTGCATGCGAGATGGGTTTCCTGGATACAGCACACTGAGGGGTTTTGGCTTTTTATCCAGTTTGCCAGTCTGTGTCTTTTGATTGGTGCATTTAGTCCATTTACATTTAGGGTTAGTATTGTTATGTGTGAATTTGATACTGCCATTTTGATGCTAGCTGGCTGTTTTGCCTGTTAGCTGTTGTAGATTCTTCATTATGTTGATGCTCTTTAGCAATTAGTGTGATTTTGGAATGGCTGGTACTGGTTGTTCCTTTCTATGTGTAGTACCTCTTTCAGGAGCTCTTGTAAAGCAGGCCTGGTGATGACAAAATCTCTGAGTACTTGCTTGTTCACAAAGGATTTTATTTTTCCTTCACTTATGAAGCTCAGTTTGGCTGGATATGAAATTCTGGGTTGAAAGTTCTTTTCTTTAAGGATGTTGAATATTGGCCCTCACTCTCTTCTGGCTTGCAGAGTTTCTGCCGAGAGATCTGCTGTGAGTCTGATGGGCTTTCCTTTGTGGGTGACCCGACCTTTCTCTCTGGCTGCCCTTAGTATTTTCTCCTTTATTTCAACCTTGTTGAATCTGACGATTATGTGCCTTGGGGTTGCTCTTCTTGCGGAATATCTTTGTGGTGTTCTCTGAATTTCCTGCAATTGAGTGTTGGCCTGTCTTGCTAGGTGGGGGAAATTTTCCTGGATAATGTCCTGAAGAGTATTTTCCAACTTGGATTCATTCTCTTCGTCACATTCTGGTACACCTATCAAACATAGGTTAGGTCTCTTCACATAGTCCCACATTTCTTGGAGACTTTGTTCATTCCTTTTTGCGCTTTT